TCCTGAGTAGCTGGGATTACAGGCACGCATCACCATGCCCAGCTAATTTTTTGTATTTTTAGTAGAGACGGGGTTTCACCATGTTGACCAGGATGGTCTCGATCTCTTGACCTCGTAATCCACCCGCCTCGGCCTCCCACAGTGCTGGCATTACAGGCTTGAGCCACCGTGCCTGGCAGAAAAATATATTTTTTTCAATTGGCCTGATGTGGTTGTGTCTGTAGTCCTAGCTACTCGGGAGGCCGAGGCAGGAGGGTCACTTGAGTTCAGAAGTTCAAGGCTACAGTGAGCCATGATTGCACCACTGCACTCCAGCGTGGGTGACAGAGTGAGACTCTGTCTTTAAGGAAGAAAGAGTGAGACTCTGTCTTTAAGGGAAGGGGGGAGGAAAGTAGTAACAAATGTACCCACAAATATGCAAATCTAAATAAATACATAGGCACAGTACATAATAGATAGAGCTTATTCTCTTGAATGCCCAAACTTGCCGCCTCTGTTTTGGTTCTCAGCAAAGGGGAGAGTGCGAGAAAGAGGAAGGTGAAGCCTACAGAGGGTCACCCTGTGGATCCCTCTTCCTGCACCCTGATCTTTCCAGCCGGTGCGTGGCTCCTTGTCCTCACCTTTCTTCATGTCCTCCTCGAAAAGAAGTCACTTGTGATCACTCACGTCATCAGAGGACGTTTTCACACGCAATCAAGAGTTGCACAAGTAACATCGGGTTTTTACTGGAACATATTTTTTAAAATCTAAATGATTCTCTTTTTTTCTTAACACCTTTGGTGTTGGGTTTATTGTTTGTTGGTTTTGCTTTCTGAAATTACAGAAAAAAATATTTCCCTGACCTTACGCTCAGGCGGAGTCAAACAAACTACCTTGAAAACATTTAGGGAAGTTAATTACAGAAAAAAACTATTTTTTCTTTCACTGTTATGCAGCTCTGGGTGTAAAACTAGACCATAGAGAAACAGCCTGCTTTACACCAAGGCATGGAACTGTAGTGGGAGGAAGAGAAGGCAGGGAAGTGGGATGGATGGAGAAGCCGATGCCCTGAGACACCCTCTACCCTGCAGGCTGCTCCTCCTGGACACTTTCCTTAAGACATCACTCCATTTCCACACCAGCTCTTCCACCCTAAACCCAGAACCTGATTTCACGGGTCATGGCCCCGGAGTGAGCCCTTCTGACCCTCCCCACTTCCCCATCTGTCCGACTATCCTCTTAATAACCTTTTCATTGAACTACAGGGGGCTTCAGCCCATAGTAAAATGAAATTACAGGTAATAAACCTTGATCTCTCTTGAATATAATTCATTGCAAACACTTGTGCCCTCAATCATTAGTGCCCAAATAGTGTAATTTTAAAAATCCTCTCATTGTTACCCTTTTAATTATTACTCCCAGGAGAGGGAAAAAAAAAAAATCAGCCACAACGCAGCCACCTCTCACCTTGTCTCTTTATTTTTCCTTTTGTTCAACAAGAATCTTGTGGCCTTTATCTCACGTTATCCCATTCTGCATGCTCACTGCGAGGTGGCATTCCTGGCTGTATGTGACACAATGTGTCGTTGTCCAAGGGCTACCTACATCAGCCTACTCTGGGGAAGAAAGAGCTTTTACCACACACAAAAAATAAATCTGTTCAGATTACCCACTTTAATCACTTGGTTAAGTATAGTGCAATGAGCAACAATACATTTTTTTATTCTCACTAGGGACAGAACGATGTTTAATTAGGCATCTAAAAGTGACTGTTAACTTATACAGGCCTCACCACAAATGGTTTTTCAACCAGCTCAGTGATCTGAAACACCGATTAGTTTCAATTCACACTTATTATCTGTCCCGCATTAAACCATTTAGTTCAGAATCTAAGTTCCTTTCTATTCAAGGGTGTTGATGTTTTAGTTTGGGTAGGAGGAACATTTTTTTTTTTTTTGCCCTTCTAAAAAGGCATTTTGCATACATCTTCCCATACCTCTTCCCATACATCTTCTTTTTTAATTAAACAAGCATGCAGAGCTTCTTTTCCTGAAAATGCTTTGTCGATACTGTTGTTCCTAAGTCCGATCTGTCCCGTCAGGGGCTTCGTGGAGGGCTCTGGTGATTTCTTTTTCAATGCTGCTGGTCCTGTGAGCATTTGCAGCTGCGCCTGTCAAAACCTGGCTCCAATGCTGCCACCTTGATCTCTGGGTAAAGGCTTGGACTCTGGGTATCTTTCTCTCAAATGGAGTCACAGCTCTGCAGTTAGACCTCCCGCAAGGGCTCATGGTCTCCATAGTGGTTTGTTTTTTTTTTTTTCCCTTAAAGTCTAGCTGTAGGACACCAAAGAGTACACAGAAAGAGCATACAAGGACTATTGGTCAAGGTACTGCAGAGAAACAGAATCCATAGGCGAGAGAGAAAGAGAGAGAGAGACTTCAGGGAATTGGCTCACATGGTTGTACAAGTAACAAGTCCAAAATCTGCAGGCTGGAAATTCAGGGAAGAGTTAAAATGTTGCAACCCTGAGTCCAAATTTTGCAGGGAAGCAAGCTGGAAACTCAGGCAGGGCTTCTATGTTGAAGACTTGAAGATGATTTTTTTCTTTTTCAAGAAATCTTAGTCTTTTCTCTTAAATCCATTGACTAATTGGATGAGGCCTATTCAAATCACACAGGGTCATCTGCTTTAAGTCTACTGATTTAAATCTTAATCACATCTAAAACATATATCCACAGCAATGTCGGGATTTATATTTGACTGAACAAAACTGGGCTTTATGGCCTAGCCAAGTTGACACGTACAACTACCCATTGTAGGTGGAGGACGTAGTCTGGAATTTAAACAGCAGCTCTGCCACACACCTCCTCCAATAGCTTCCTTGGCCTCGGTCTCCTTATCTGTAACATGGTTCCCCAAATTGAATAAATGAGAAGAAATATGCCTTTGGGGTATTCCAGGGTTGAGGAGCATTTGGTTAATAAAGTTGGATTTCCTCTTACTGACACGTCACCAATAAAGTACAAAAAAGATAGAAGCCATTCTTTGAGCCAATCACATGTAAATTCAGGTAAGTTTCCAATCAGCCATATTTTGTTGTACTCAAACAAATCCTATCTGGCAATAGGGTTCAGGTAAATTCCTGTCGATTTGGGGAAAGCTTTGGTCTTGATAGTCAATTTCGGAATGACATGGTAAATTCATTAAGTTAGACCATTCAAAGTCAAGCAAGATTATGTTGAACTAGAAAGCTAGTTTATTAATGTACAATGAAAGTATGGCTCTATGGTGCAGAGAAAACTGTAGCAGAAGTTATGTTCCCTACGTGTGCAATGCGGAATCAGTCACTTGCCCTCTCTTGACCTCAATTTCCTTTCCAGAAGATAGGAAATTTGGGTATAATGACTTTAATGTATCTTCCAATTTCAAATGGGAATCTATTAGGAGTCATGTTTTCTTCCTGAATCGTTTATATTCGTTAAGAAGTATTCAATATTGGTTAAGTCAAATGTTTTAAGCTTTTAAGCCTATTAAGGCATAAAGGTAATCTGAAACTTCAAGACTACAAAATTCTATTTTACTGGGCTCTAGGTCACATAGCACGATAACTATCTATGTTAGCTACTGCAATGAAATCAGTCAAAAGTTGTATTTTTATATCATCCGTTCAAACTTTTTACTCTCAAAAGATCTTATGACTCAATCTACCTTCAGCCAATTTTGTATCAACTATTCTTCTTTGACAGTGTCTAAGATGATATTTTATTAGGCTGTTCTTTCTACCGTTTAATACTCCTCTGTGGAACACACTACTCTGTAGGATTAATGGTCCATGTTATTACAGCTTTTTCATCAGTTTACATCCCTCTGACTATTTTTTACTGCTTGGTCTTTGCTTCCAAACTATAAGTTTCATTAGAGGATAACAGTTAAAATGGTACTATTTTTAGAAAAAAAATTCAATAGTGACACATACCTTATTAAATGAACAACAAATATTTGTTAAGTGGATAAATAAGGAAATTAATAAAAATGCATGACGCAACCCTCCAAGAACTTCAAAGTGCCTTGTATAGGATGTTATACACATGAGGTATATTTTAAAAATAGATTTAAAAGATTAGAGAAAATAAATGCAAGAAAAGACAGAACAAAAATATATCCAAATATGGTTGACTACTCAGCCAGATACTCAGCCTTACTTCCACATTTCTCTCACCCTATCCAATGTTCAGTCAACCAATAACTGCTTAACTATCTACTGTATGTCTGGCAATCTGTTGGCCCTGAAAATAGGGCAATGAGCAGAACTGGAAGGATCCCCACTTCATGGAATTTATACCTTCCATCTCTCTTCTCAAAACCATACAATAGGGGCAGAAGATACAGATGATACCCTTATTAAAAGCCAAAAAATTCAGGAAGTTGGTCGTCGTCATTGCTGTTATTGTTTAAGTAGTGTTGTTTCTTTGGTATTCAATAAACTGCACAATGTACACTTCAGTTACTAGGCCGCCATGTTTGCCTTTGAAATAAAGAGCCTAAACCACATAGACCCTGACTGCTTCACCCAGGTGAGAGACACTTGGGCACCCATCAACTGATGCACAGCCAACCCTGACTGACAGTATGAGAGAGTCTTTCCAGGTGTCACTGTTAGCAATGACCTCACAGGACTCACCTTGGGCCTATGAATGACTCACAGGACAGGTGTACTTCTTGGCAGTCTCTGTGTCAGCTGTGGATCAACCTGTCTTCCGGGGCAGCTTCGTGCTGTCCTCCAATTTTGTAGCCTTGTGGGGTAAGACATTGGATCCATTGGATGCAGCGTGTAGTCAATCACTCACAAAGCCATTCACTTGATATTGATTTTCTACCCCCTTTTCACTGTCATGTATAATACGTTGGTACCAAAAACCATGTTAAGAACAAAATAACTGATTCAAAGCATTCATAAATACAGTGTCAAAAAGAGATGAAATTCAAACTATTCAATTGAAACAGGGGTTGAGTGCATGAATAAAAGATTTAGTAGGAAATGCTATTGACATTATTGGCTAGAACCAGGCTTGGGAGTTTCCTGTAATTTAAAATTATGTATGCTGCCTAGCAATCATTGATGGAACCTCTACTATTAGCGCCTTGTGCTAGATCCTTGGAACACAAAGATGGATAGAGAGTCAGCCCCTATTCACTCTGGTCCTCAAACACCAGTCTGATTTGAGATTAACACGTAAACCTTTGACTCTTTGGTATGCTAGAAAAATGTGGGCTTTGTGATTATGACTATGTCACCCTTCCACACTTTACCTTTCAAAAGTATAACTGTGTTTATATTGAACACCTATTGAAATGTTTAGTTCATAGTCTTCATTCTCTTTTACTAATATTCTTGTTGTTTTCTAGTTGAAGTTGGTAACAAATGATGAGTGTTCCTCACAACGCTAAACTAACTATATCTTTCCAAGCAGTTTAATAACAAAAGAAGACTAAACTTGGAGAAGAGGCTTATCACCAAAGTTTTATTGCTGGAATATTTTTGGCCAAGAGAATTTCCAAGCCCATAGTTTGCAGGACTAGACTTTACCCACCTCAGTCCTGAACGAGAATAGTGGTTCAGTTATTTCTGTCTGCACAAGAATCCTGCCCAACCCCTAGCCCAGCATAGAAATGCAGATCATTACTCATTAGGCCTGCAGCTGCTCCTGATTTCATCAGTCAGACGACACGCCTGCTGATCCTCATCTCAGAAATGGTTCTAGAAAAATGATTCTGAAGACTCTTGATAAGCCTCCCCAAAACTGTACTTATAACTCTAAATATTACATATTTCACTTTTGCAGAAAAAGGAAAAGTATGAAAATTCATTAATGTGCTCCACCCTACCCCAAGTTCAACCTCTTTCCCATGTTGATTCATAATCGGACTATAAATAAGGTCCAAAAAACTACAGCCTTCATCTACCAGAGGGAAACATCCTGTGTTAAGCCTAAATTAAATTGTGTTTGCTGTAATTCAATTATATTTCTCTCAGTCCATTATAATATTCTATTTTTCTGTCATCTATTATCTCCACCAATAGCCATGGAAATAGCTTTACTGATACTAAAATGAGCACCCCAACTTCTAGAGAGATTAATACTAATTTATTTGCATAATTAATTCAAATGTTCTGAGCTCCTTCCCTGTCATTAGCAAAATAGAATAGAACAAGTGAAAAAAAAACTGATAAGCTTTGAAATGATAATAATTCAATAGGTAGCAAATTATGTCAGCAGACTGTGCCATTTATCTATTTATGCAGTGGGACAATTATTTACTCTGCTTTGTTTCAAAAAGGATTTCAGCTGGCTTCAGGAATTTCTGCAGTGTAATTCGTTTGTTGAAAGGAAACTTCTAACTGATAACTTATGGAAGAATTGGGAAGAAATTTGGACTAATTATACCCAAGACATTTAGAGCAAATTGCATAATATTTCACACAGTTGAAAAAAAAAAAAGAGGATACCCTGGTTGGACGAGAACCAATGGATTATGAAAATGGTTTGGATTCCTTCACACTTTCATAATTACTTTCAATTGTGCAGCTTTTCTGACTGTTAAGATTTCTTAGTCAGGCTTCAAAACCATTAGCATTACATAATGCTGAGCCAATGAATGCAGCTAGCCAGTGATTCTCATTCCCCTCTAAAACCTTAGAATCACAAGGAAATAGTTCTTTCCCACTTAGTACTTACTTGGAGACAAGCATTTAGTGACCCCAAAACCCAGTGCCCTGTTTACCATGCCCTTCGGGACAATTTTGATAGCCAATGCTACTACCATTTAGAGACAGCCAATTACTATGTCTCTCATTTTATTCATCAAAACTAAAAGAAAGAGAAGTGAGATGTCTCATGCATGCCAAATCATACACTTTATCAGAGACTGAATAAGAAAAATATAGTAAGCCCTTACGTTCTGACTTTCATTCTCTTCATGAATTAATTCATTTATTCCTCTAACAAATATACTAATGAAGAATAAACACTGTGACATAAATCTTTTAAATCTTTTGAAAATTCAAAGCTCTCTTTCCCATGACAGTTTCATATTTATCATACATTTTACATTATCCATGGGTAAATAGCACAAATAATTTTTTGAGCTGTATTTTCT